GGGAGCTTCAGTCGCGGTTCAAACGTTCCGGTGATAACATCGAGCCTCTCCGCAAGCCTTCGAACGGGAACTCTTGTATAACTGTAGCCAACTTACAGAGACTACAACCATGGACAATAAGGTAATGAGTCATCAAAGTGAGGTCAAGTTGTCATTTGTTCATGTGTTTAGTTTGGAATTTACAGTGACAATTTTGGATTATAGAGTACTTTCACATTTTTGATGGGATTGTGCATAATGTACTAGTAGTGTGTTCTCATGTGGTTTCATTAATCTCGTTATCCGTCATAAACGCTCTTTTTAATTGTATGTTGTGTCGTGTATCAGTGCGCTTAAAAAACCCTCAGTATATCGTAATTTAATTGCCATAATTATTAGACGTTCTGGATAAAGTCTGCGGTAAATCTACCCACCATTCGATAGCTGTCCTCCCGTTCTCAACCCATTTCTTTCAAATTCACACATTTCTTATATTCTTATACACATCTCTAACATACCCTTTCCATAAACCCAATGTTTTTTAACGTGTTTATTCATCCATTCAGTATTTCTGCGCTGCCACCGTTTTTTTTTTCACAAAGACCGTTCCTCCGCCCGCAGATGACTCTCGTCTCAGCATCAGTTCTCCTCTTGGTCGTCGTCCTGGCTTCGCACAGCGGTGTCCATGCGAGGTCTGTTGTCCCCGAAGGCCTCCAGGATCTCGAAATTCCTCGTCAGGAAAGCGATATGTTCGCCGTCAGAAGAAAGAGGCAGGTGTTCGACGCCTCGTGCAAAGGCATCTACGATCGGAGACTTTGGGCAAAGCTCAACAACGCGTGCTTGGACTGCCAGAACATCTACAGAGGGGATCCGGCTATTGAGGGAGAATGCAGGTAAATAGATTTTGCATAAATATCAATACTCACAAGTGCACACATGACCATGCACACGTACATGCACATGCGCACACGCACACACACATGCATACACGCAAACGCACACACACATGCATACACGCAAACGCACACACACATGCATACACGCAAACGCACACACACATGCATACACGCAAACGCACACACACATGCGTAAACACACACACGCACGCACGCGCGCACACACACACACACATACACACACACACACATACACACACACACACATACACACACACACACACAAATCCACACACACATCCACACATCCACACACACACACACATCCACACACACACACACATCCACACACACACACACACACATCCACACACAAACATCCATACACACACACACACACACACATCCACACACAAACATCCATACACACACAGCACAGCACATATACAAGCAGAATAGAATGATATTCTCAGTAGAGTTCGTAGAATTCGTACAGTACACTTAAAATGTACTAAATATTGTACTTTCTTCTCTCCAGGCAAAACTGCTTCGGTACAGATGTCTTCAGAGGATGCATCAAGGCCCTGAAACTACCCACGAAAATTTATTTATATAATGCCGAGCTCTTGAGAGAAAGCTAGTGTGTGGAAGCAATTATAAATCAAGGTACGTATTGCGGGAGCTGTGTTGCAATGTTGAAATTGTTGTTGATTTGGTTTTGTATTCAATGAGTAGTATTATGAGATAGATATTTTTGATTTTGTATTCAGTTTGATTTTGTATTCAAGTTTGACTTGATCTTGTTTATATATACGCTACAAAATATATATATATATTTCCTTTCTTTCTTTCTTTTTTTCTTATTATCATTTACCAGTTGTTGGTAAACAAATAAAAACAAAATGCATACAGTGCATACAACGAATATTCAACATGCTCAACGATTTTTTCTTTCTTTCCAGGATCAGAAATCGATACAGCTGAAAAAAAAAATATATTTTACATTCGCAATCCCTCTATAAACAATTATACTCAAGCAGCAACAACCAGACTGCCAAGCTCCTCGTTATAGAAACCACTTCCCTGTTGAAATCTTTTTCCCGCGCGCCAGCAAAAGAGTGGCGTTTCCTGTTTATCTCGCGCAGCCAAGGTGGAAGTGTGGAGTGTGGAGTGCGTTGTGTTCCACTGGAGTAATGTGGATCACTTTCCCGGAGTGGTGAGGTTGAAGAGAGAGGTGTTTCTGGTGAGATCTGCGAAGGATTAGCAGGATGGGGAAAATATGCAGAAGATTGAAGAAGATTGGAAAATTACAGGCGAGTAAGATTGGAAAATTGTTCTGGAAACGAAAACGGGAAAGGCGTATATGTGAAATAAAATGAGAAGAAATACTGGAGAAAAGAAGAGGAAGAAAAAATATATATATATATATATATATATATATATATATATATATATATATATATATATATATATATATATACGCGCAAGAAACGAGGGGAATACAGAGCAAACACAAGTTAAGAGAAGCAGAGAAGTGACCGAAGAAACGAGAAGAAAGGAAATGGAACGTGAAAAATACAGGAACGGATTGGAAAAAAAAGGACAAGAAAAAAGAACCAAAGTGAACCATTATATTAATTAAATCGGAAGTGACGAAAAGATACGTGACAATTAACGCGTGAACTATAATTATTATCGGTTATTTATTACAATTTCCTGTCTCCTCTTTGGGCATTCCTGTAACAAAGTTTTAGAAGAGCGAAATTGCTGACGTCATACAAGGCAAAATACTTTTAAAATTCGCGATAAGATTATAGTTTCACTTCGTCGAGTTTCTTGCATGTATGGCATTTAATACGTACATATATATACATATGTATATATACACACGTATGTGTGTGTGTACATATGCATGTATGTAATTTTCATGTGTTGTTCTAGTCGGATATGATTGTAATTGTTTCATATTTTTGTACCTGCTTTATATATTTTAATAATTTATGATTTAAAGATAAGTACACTAATTTTGTTGACGTATGAATATTATTTACCCCTGGCAGTTCTAAGCATGAAATAAATGTGCTAGAATTATTTGACATCAAAATAAATGTATGTCCTAAAGCTAGGGATATACGAGCGATATTCAACAACGCTTGATCTGAAAAAGAGTGAATGATATTGAAAAGTGAATAAATTATCGATAAAAAAATAGTAGACGACATATATCGAAAACATGTATATGACAATAAAACAGTTATTTCTTTCTTCGGAAAGAATTTATTTACTTTAGGAAGAATGTTCAATTTTTTTTTTATCGACGTATGAGTTCTGTGCATGTAAGTGAATATATCTATATAATTTATATACTTCTATTTATCTATCGATTCATCCATCTGTCTACCAACTATCTATTTGTCTATCAATTATCTGTTTAATTATCTACATATCTATCAATCTCTCTCTCTCTCTCTCTTTTGTATGCACTGTATACTCTCTCTCTCTCTCTCTCTCTCTCTCTCTCTCTCTCTCTCTCTCTCTCTCTCTCTCTCTCTCTCACTCTCACTCTCTCTGCCGCTCTCTCTCTCTCTCTCTCTCTCTCTCTCTCTCTCTCTCTCTCTCTCTCTCTCTCTCACTCTCTCTGCCGCTCTCTCTCTCTCTCTCTCTCTCTCTCTCTCTCTCTCTCTCTCTCTCTCTCTCTCTCTCTCTCTCTCTCTCTTTCTCTCTTTCTGCAACAACTTTCTTCTATGTTGCCTCTGCTGTTACATGTACTAACCATCCGATGTTTCTTAGCACTTTCTCTCCTTTCTATCAGTGAGATACCTGCAATCTGAACTTTTTCTGGTCTTTTCGTTAAATTTTCTTCCTTTTCCCTCTAGTGCCCAAGTTTCTGCCCTGTAAAGTGTCATAGGTCTTTGGATTTTTATGTATTTTCTTTCTCAATTATAGTGGGATCTTTTCTAACATGACACCAATTCCTTCTTTCCATCTTCTCCAAACTTCTTGTGCCTTATGTTGAATGATCTCCGTCCCTCCTTCTTCAGCGAAAGTTGCTCGAAAATACGTTAGTTAGCTCATTGTATTGCTCCAATCTTGCGCCGTCACGTGACTGTCTGTTGATTTCTTCTCCATTAACTTTATTGCTCATCATCACCTCCGCTTTCCCTGTGTTCACTTTCAGTCCTCCTCTTTCCAACGTTTTTTTTTTCTTCTTCTTCTCTGCATTTCTTCGGGTGTTTCTGCTGCAGTTGCGAGATCGTTTGCAAACAGCGACTCCCAACCCTTCGTCTACTTTCTCTTCTTGTAGCTCCATAGTGAAAGGTTCTAGAACTATCAAAACAAAAAGGTACCAAGAGCAGAGCCTTTCTGTAGACCAACGTTTACTAGAAAGGAGACTGTGCTTCCAAATATTATCCATATCACTGCTTTCGTGTTCGTGTACATAGTTCTTATGCTATGTTTAAGGTCTTCTGGTACTTTTCGTTTCCTAAGGCATCAGTACATAATGTCACTGGGTACCCTATCTTACACGGTTTTACCTCCACAAAATATTCTACATTCCTGTTACCTTCCAAAAACTTCTCTTGCATTTGCCACATGATAAAGACTGCATCAGGGAAAAAAGCCATACTGATGTCCGTTGATGGCACACTACTTTCTAAGTCTTCCCCTTAATACTCTCTCTCCACTACCTCCAGCATCTGTTCCTAAAACTTCATTTATATGTAACTTACACACACACACACACACACACAAATGTAAAGACCCACACACACACACAAATATATAGACATACACACCCTTTACACACACACACACACACACACACACGCACAGTAAATATATATGTGTGTGCTCGTACACATATATTCCTGTAGCGCACGAACACGTTCGTGCGTGCGTGTATGTGACCTGCGTTAATACAAGTGATCGGTCTCCCGTGTGCATGTTTGTCCGACTGCAATGCCAGTGCAACAAAGCGACACATATCCGCGACCTCAGAATTGGTCACATCCGGCCAACGCCAATTACAGATACTGAGAAATGTCTCGGTCAGCCTACCTTGGCCACTGGCATTGGGCCGCTCGAGCGCTCGGGGCCATTTGTGTTCTTGTTTCTGTATGTATATATAAGCGCATGTACATCTCTCATCTCTCTCTCTCTCTCTCTCTGTCTATACACACACACACACACACACACATACACATATATATATATATATATATATATATATATATATATATATATATATATATACATGTGTGTGTGTGTGTGTGTGTGCGCGTATATACACACACTCACACACACACAAACACACACACACACACACACATACACACACACACAAACACACATACACACACACACACACACACACACACACACATATATATATATATATATATATATATATATATATATATATATATATATATATATATATACATATATATATTTACATATATATATATGTATATATATATATATATATATATATATATATATATATATATATATATATATAAATGGGTGTGTCTTCCCGTCCGAAAAACACATGTTTCCGCTCTGACCGAGGAATGTATCGACTTCCTACTTTCTCCCTTTCCCTTTCTTCTTGATATTCATCTTTCACTTTTCCTCGACTGTGACATGTATGTATTGGTTTATTCACAAATATGTACATACATACGTGCACGCATATATATGGATACATATATATCTATCTATATATATTGTATATATATGTATGTATATATTTATGTATATACATACATACACATACACACACACACACAAATATATATATATATATATATATATATATATATATATATATATATATATATATATTCATATATTTATATATATTCACATGTATGTGGCATATATGTATAGGTTTATTTACAAATATGTACATACATACATGCATACATATATATGCATACATACATATATATGTTATATATATGTTATATATATCATATATTTATATATATTTTACATATATGTGTATATGCATCTATACACATATGTATGGATTTGTATACATATACATATATGTATACTTATATATACACATATATATTAGAGATGAAGAATAATGAGAAGAGAAATAGAGAAAACAGGGAAAAGGTACAACCAAGGACAAATACTACACATGCTCCCTGTAATATTTCCCGCCTTTTTTTTAAATCTCTGAACATCAGAAAGCAATCAGCTGCAGTGGCGTTTTATCCATTATGCCCGGCAGGTGGCGCGAACAAGCTCATCGTCGCATCCGTTCGACACCCATATATATGTATGACAATAAGTAAAACATAAATGAATAAATAAAATGAAAATGAAAATCGATTAATTGAGTAATGGAAATAAAAAACTACTTTTCGACACCCCATGAGCACCATTTCGGTTTGTACTTTTTGACTGTCATGAACTTTTGAAATTATGGTAGAATTAAGATGGTAGAGGATGTTGTTTTATATATTCGTTTACATATTTCTATTTATCTGAATATTTCACTATAACGTTTCATATATAACTTTTGATATATATATAGAGAGAGAGAGAGAAAGAGAGAGAGAGAGAAAGGATATTATTACGGTAAACTTGAAGGAGAAATTCAGAAGTGACGCGACGTCCCCTGCAGGAAAAAAAAAACATAACTTGTCCGATTTCGTGGCGCCTTCAACTCGAAAGAATCTAAGAATGTATGCACAAGAATATAAAAGCAACACAAAAATATTGACAGCATAAACATGACAACATATCTTAAGAAAATATCCGTACTGATGGCGAAAGCAGACAACGCCAAACGACAAAATTTCCCGCTTAGGATCGCGACGCAGTGAGGTTAATGTAGGGAGATAACGGTACTGTTATTGTTATCATTGTTATTTTTAGTGTCATTATTATAATTAATTTTATTATCATAATTACTATTATTGTTATTGTCCTTTGGATAATGATGATATGATGGTTGCTATTATTACTATCTTTGTTATCAGTACTATTATCATCATGATTATTATCATCA